CAAAATGACCAATGTGCATAGAGGGTTAAACTGAATGTGCAAATTTATTAGACAGTAACTCACATTCTCTCTCTTGCTCCTTGTTCATGGAATTCCTCCTTGTTGTCGACCGCTCTGTCATGTGTCGACTCTTCTTCTTATGTCCATTGTTTGTGTTGATATCTCTAGGAATTCTTCAAAAGTATTTGTTATATCTTGATAGCCTTTCTTTAAAGTTTCAATCATGGACCACACTTCTTCTTCTGGTATATAATTTTTCAGTTTATTTCTAAATTCTCTAGCAGTTTTCTTCCATTTTCCATAAAGGGAAAGCAGCCCTTTGTGCCTCTTCCCTTTGACATTCTTGCATTATATCAGTTTGTTGCCTTTTACGTTGGGGGCATTCTATTGTTTCCTCTACTAATGTTGAGTAATTTTGGCAATTTTTTCGAGAATTGAATCTTCATCTGCTTGCACACTTTTTAATCTGCATCTCATTATATGCGTTTGAACCTAAATCATTTAATTTCTTACTAATTTGTATAAAATAACATGCCATTTATCCCACAACACATGGCAAAACACTTTTAAATGCATGCAATTTATCACAGAAACACTGTAAAATGACCCCGAAAGACATAATTACAACAAATCCAAAAATATACAGTATATACATTCTTGAGTTGTGCAAATAGGCATAAATTGCGCAAAATGCAAAGTGATGGTGAGGTTTCTAATAATTCCAACAAATGAACAAGATTGCAATTAGTCTTTTGAAATACTGGGAACACGCAAAAAGAGTTCTTTTAATGGTTTTCCGCATCAATTCACGGTTTTAGTTCCACGCCGCAGAAGGTTATAAGTTTGTGTACTCACAATGTCCGTGGATAAACTTCATACAGTACCGTCCCGTATCCGTGTTTGCTTTACCGGGGGTTCGCCGTGAGCACCTGAGCGGTCTGTCAATTCACGGCTCACTTAGCAGCTCCCCACCGTCTCATCGTCACCACCAGCTCCACACCGTCACCGGGCCGTCACCACACGAGTAGAAGCCGGCTCCATAGTGAGCCCGGCAGCGACAATCACCATGCATCAATCCATGGGCAAAGCTCTTACTGTAGCGGCTTTAGCTGAATGAATGAAGACTCGTACAGATGCATGTGTCCATTTTCTGTTTTGATTCATTGCACAAATTCACCGTAAGTGCAAAAAACCATGAAGCAGACACATGAATCATAAAAATTACATTACAATACACAACTTTAAGCCCTTCAGCTAAGTGCTAACCATTTAAACAGTTTAGAGCCGACACACCGTGTCACGTTAAGTACAATCCGAAAGCAATTGGGAGTTGCCCGGACAAACTTCAAAATAAACAAAACATTCCTTACAGACGTATTTAGATAGACAATACTAACCCGCTAGCTCTAATAGGAAAGTGCTTGCGGACAAAGTTCGACTCCAACTCACTCTGGCTCCTATTGACTTACCTACATGTAAAAGTAAATTTCTCATGCTGGTCCAAATTCATACATAATGTAAATACATAAAATAAAATAATAACCATTAAAGAAACTATCCCCGATTTTTTTTTCCAATGAGTTCATAAAAATGCTTATTATTATGTACAAGTTGTATTATAACCCGTAATTTTATTGAAAACTTGAGGTCATTGATTCAGCTTGTGTATGATTTCAGGCTGTAAAAAGTGCTGAGTAGAGGCTTGGCGTGACGCCTGCTCTCCTCCAATCACAGAACAAGGGGTGAACGGCTGCGTCCTCTATCCTCTACAGCGCTGGTAAACAGTAGGGCTTTGAATTCGAAATTCGATATTCAAATTTAATTAGAAAATTAGAAATATAAATATATATATATATATACAGTATATATATTTCGAACGAACATTAGACAGGTTTCGCTGTGACGTGTCAGGCGGGTGACAGCTAAAAGAGCTAGTTCAAAAACTCTCTGGAGTGGAACTACATGAAAACTGAACAAAGAATTCTGAACATCAGCGGTGAGTTACCCATTTATATACCGAACCTAAATCCATAATCAGATCCTCTTCAAATGTGTCCGAAAATGTTGGTTTCATGTTAATGTTTACTTCCGGGTTTATCTCGATGCGTTTTTTCACAATTTTCTTGTGGACGGGACCACAGCTCCAGTAGAGCACAATCTTTGGCCCATTAGTTTGAACGGCGCAGATAAGCTTGACTACATTCGTTAATATTTACAGTCTATGGTAGTATAACATTTTGAAATTACTTTCAGATCAATGGAGGGTTCTACTGCTGCTGTGAGGAGCTGTATGATAAATTATAATTAAGTATTCAAAACTAGCGGTAATCTTTCAGTTATATATTTAGTTAGGAGTGCGTTGCTTTTGTACCTTTTCAGTGATTGTTGTACAAGAAGTTGCGCTCATGCTAATGTTTGCAAAGAAAACTAGATGGCTCTGTGGGATGAGAGCGTAGGGAAAATGAGACCTGTGAGCGAGTTGAGGGGCGGTGCTAAACATTCAAGCCTAGCAGAAACAGGTATAGCTCCTTTAACACACTTCCCACAAAGAAAACAAAGAAATGGAGATTACTACTGCACCAGCTACATCTACTACTATTTCTACACCTTCCCCTACAACTACAACTACCACAACACCGGCTGCTACTATTACTTTTCAGCAGTACCCATTCTGGTGAAAACAAGTGGATTTTAAGTAACCATTTCTCTGTCTTGTATTTTGTATTTGGAGCCACACTTTGATCTTGTGCTGGGGCTCGCCTGGTGCTTTGTGTCTGAAGGCAAAAAAGACAAAGCCTCGACACGCGGTGGAGAGCGGAACAAAGGAGACGTCAGAATCCACAAAACACATCACATTATTTAAAGATCAGAAGAGAGAAGGCATGGAGCCTTCTCTCTGTAGAGACATGGGAGAGTGAGAACGGAGGACTCAGGATTTATGTAACTTTTAGGAGAAAGCAGAACATGCAAACTAGACTTGTTAGTTCCTCTTGTTTTCTCTGGTTATATACACACTCATTGCCACTGAGCAAAAACACAGGACTGGTGTGTCAAAACAACTCTCTGGTCTCTCGCTCTCCGGTCTCTCGCTCTCCGGTCTCTCGCTCTCCGGTCTCTCGCTCTCCGGTCTCTCGCTCTCCGGTCTCTCGCTCTCCGGTCTCTCGCTCTCCGGTCTCTCGCTCTCTGGTCTCTCGCTCTCTGGTCTCTCTCTCCAGTCTCTCTGGTTTCTCTCCAGCCCAATCTCCGGTCTCTCCCTCTCTGGTCTTTGTCTGCATTATGCTGTAACTTTAGAAGACTTATTCTGAAAGTCAGGAGCTTTGACTCTATCTTGGCCCGTGCCTCTATTCCCTGTGATGAACGCTGACACAGGTCCAAACAACAGCCCACCTTTCCCACTGCCGTCTCTGATTATTGGCTCTACAGTCTAAAAGCGCCTATTTCATACCCTGGTTTGAAATAGGGCAGTTTCAAATAAAAAAAACTCTGACTGGTAACCACAAAAACTTTATTCAATTATAATGATATTTCTTTTACACTCCTTTGGCCTGCACAAACTTTGGCCTCGCTGCTCTCGACTTTTGAGTTTTTCCGTTGCTGTGGATTGATCGGCCACTCCCTCATAACGACTTCTCGCTCTGGTGATTATTAAGCGACGAGGAAACAGATTCTAATAGGTTTGGGACAGAAGTGTGGACCATGTGGAGACGGAGGGAGAAGGTTTAACAGAGAACTAAGTATAAAAGTGACTCATAACTTTACCCTTTATTGGTTTCCTCAACCATTTGGTGCATCACTTTTTCACTCACTCCACCTGAGCCTGGAACTGAAATCTACCTCATTAGGGCATCTCTATCACTTACTTCTGTCTTCTCTCATCTACGCCTCTCCCTTCTCTCCTCTCTCTCTCTCATCCCCTCTTTCCTCTCTCTCCTCTCCTCTTTGTCCTCTCTCTACTTATCTCACCATATATTATTGACTGGCAATATTATTCCACATTCTTAAACTTTAAAAACCAATAGTAATTTGGTCTTTAATGTGGTCAGATCAAATTCACCCCTTGCTTTCTGCTTCCATCTCTCAGTCCTTCTTCAGAATTGTCTCTGAGCCTGTCCAGAGATACTCTCTTACAAATCGCCGCTTCCTCTTCCTCTGTCCCCAAAGATGTACATTTTTACATCTCAATATGATATTAAACGCAGTTCCCAGAGAACATGGCTCTTATTGTATCGACTGAAATGTTGTGGAGAGGGTGCTTTGGTGAGAGCAGACTCCGTCGAGCGGAACTACAGCCTCAAACGAAGCTCCCCACAGACACACACAGACACACACACACTCCACTGTCAGATTTGCATTCATGAATATGGACGAGTGGATGTGGGGAGACGCTCCAGTCAACGCTGAGGAAGATGTAATTTGTTTTATCGCTGAATCCATATTAAAATATGTGATTGTGCAGTAGTTTAACTCTAACAGACTGTATAGATAAACAATGCTAACAGACTGTATATAGCTGGACCATGTTAGCTCAATGAAGCCCACTTCATTCTCTGGCTTCTATTGACTTACATGTAAAAGAAAACTCCTCTAGCTCAGTAACTGTTTGTGTCATACTCACCATTTTGGGGTAAAAAAATCTGCGGTTTAACATTCTCTGTGATCCTGGTGTTTATATTGTCATGTTGCAATAATCCGGTTATGAGCCATTAAAAGATGGACCAAGATATGCCCAGATGAGGAAATTGGCTCCAGCGACCGATCACAGGATACAGTGAAAGTATATAGAGATACTGAGAATCATATGAAGACGATTTTACGCGCAAATCGATTTTCGCGTAGCAAGCACAACTCGGAACTTGTGGACGTGTTGAGTTCACCAACATCTGAGCTCACGGTACCAGTAGATGTATGCCACCGATTATGACGATTAAGGTGAATATTTTTGATGATTGATTTGGACTGTCTCTCCCTGCAGGTCTCTCTGTGTCTATTTCCACCTTCAGCCTTGTGGCCATCGCCATCGAACGCTACAGCGCCATCTGCAACCCACTGCAGTCGCGCTCGTGGCAGACACGCTCGCATGCATACCGCGTCATCGCTCTTACCTGGCTCCTGTCCCTGCTGCTCATGGTTCCCTACCCTGTCTTCAGCATCATCAAGGGCTTCAACAAACCAGGAGGAGAACCTGGTCACATGTGCCGACTGAGCTGGCCCAGCGCGCAGGCCGAGCAGGCGTGGTGAGACCAACACTCTTCATTTACTTTGGTCTGTGGGATTCATTCCTGGTCTCTGTCTGGTCACTATCTCTGGGCTTTCTCATTACTTGTTACTTGTTTTAAAAAGTTACTTGATACTTCACTTACTTTCTCTAAAGAGAGTAACTTATTACGTTACTCGTTACTTTTACGTTACTTTTGTGTTACTATTATTATCCACTACAGTCTATGCTAAAAGCTGTCAAACCAAGGAGAGTGTCGAACCCATAGACTGATATTGACTTTGCATTTAAACCGTAAGCAACGCATGGTGTGAACTGCCCTTAATGCCCTGAAGCATTGCAAAGCTGGGAATCTTATTGAGCCAGTGAAACACTTAGACACACCGACACAATTGATACGCAAAGCGAAGCAGTGGCTGCAGAGTCCGAGAGAAAGGACTGTTCCTGATTCTCCATGATTATATCCAGACCATAGACCAGGACTTCCCTCTGGTCTATACTCTCTCACTTGATTGGCAGTAGGCCATACATCCGGTTTCCCTCATAGTGTTGGATACAGAGCAGTTTAATGCATTCACTGATGCAGGTGGGAGATCACACACACCATTATCATATCAATCAACAGCTGCTTTTGGGTCACTCTATAGACCAGAGCGACATTCAACCAAGATCAAAGGACATCACCAGCTTTACTCCATTATATTACATGTATCTTCTGTGTAAGGAAGAGCCCAGGAAGTCACTATTTGACTCTGAGGGCAGTGGGGGCGGGTCCCGGGTAAAAAGTGGGCAAAATGACGTGCGCTGACATGCTTGCAATACCACCGATGGGGGTGGACCCCGGAATAAGAATTAGCCAATGCTAAGATTTAGCATCTTCTTACCTCTAGAAAACGTCAGGATGGTCAAAAAGTTGGCTCTTGGCCCAAAGCTCCGTTCCACATGTGTGTCAATGCTGAGGGGAGTGAATATTTTTGGACCACTCTAGTTTAGTCACTGTGAATTTTTGAAGGCACTCGTTTAAATGAATGGAGCTCTCGCCGGCTGACGCATGCACAGATGCGTTTTTTCACAATTTTCTTGTGGGCGGGACCACTCGTGGCCATTTTGGATAGCTCCAGTAGAGCGCAATTTTTGGCACATTTGTTTGAACGGCGGAGATAGGCGTGACTACGTCCGTTATTATTTACAGTCTATGGCTAAGAGCTGATTGGTCGAGTGAGGGTGGTTCTCTCTTTTTTTCAATTTTCTGTCAGAAATCTGCTCATCTAAAGATATGACAGAGGTCAAAAATACATGAAAACTAGTAAAAGAACCGCTCTGGTCTCTCTCTCTCTCTCTCTGGTCTCCCTTTAGACCAGAGCGGCATTAAACCAGGGCTGTGGGCCGAAAAACGGTCTGAAGAAGGCAAATTTGCATGGGCAGTCACTGAGGCCAATGCCAAGAAAAATAGAAAAAGAAAAACAGCTGTATATATTTTGTTAATACATTGTTCACTCGTCAGAAAGGAAAGAATATTTTAACAAAGTCTTGACTAAAACAAACAGATGCAGAAATACACTTCAATATCCATGTTATTACTGGATCTCTTATTACTGTTTATAATCATACTTGGATATGATACAATTTGATTACAAATAATTTCCAGTTTGTTGCCCAATATTCCAATGGAAAGTCTCCAATATGGAAAAGTGTCCCTTCTGTTCAAACACTCTCTTTCCAAACGTGTTACTTGTAATCCTCAGTCTATGACGTCATGAACAGTATTATGCATGAACAGCTGTAATATGCCGTCAGTCGGAGCTGTGTGTATCAGGACGTGAAGAGAGTGCAGCGTTTGCAGTCAAGGCTCAATCTACATTGCCATCCTAACCTCTGAAGCCCAATACAATACATGAAAACAGTTGAATCAAATCTCAGAAACAAAAATTAGCTAGTGGCCACATGCATCAAGTAAAGTGGTGATAAGCATGAAGAATTGTTTATTCCTGGTCAATTTTCTCTTATAATTGTATTAAATATGAAGTCACAAACTCCTACATCTGTTTTGGCTCGTGCACAAAAGTTTGGCATACCCAAATGTCTTTGCTTATTTAAAAAAACATCTTACATCTCACATGCTTGTGTGATGCATCATTTTAAAGCTAGGCCCTTCTAGTTTATGTAAATATACACTGAAATAATGTATGTCATTCCTATTTTAATCTGCATCCTTTGAAGTTTGGGGGAAAAAACCTGTTTTTTTTAGCCTCGCCATAAAAAATTCAATGTATAAATGCCTTAAAAAAGCCTACTTCATTGGAAGAAGAAAATTTTCAACGCCAATTTGTTCATTGTGTTGTTGACAACAACTGTGTAAAGTTTCAGACTTCTAAGTTTTATAGTTTTTATGCAGTTTCTCCTTTTTATCAAGTAGTGCCATTCAGAACCAATTTGGCAAAATGTGTGCCACATTGTGCCAAACTGCTTTACTAACATTTCACCATCATAAAAAGCATTTTAGTTTTGGTACTTACGAGTTACAAATCTGTGTGATTTTCTTTTAAATTTTTTCAAAATTATTTTTTTAGTAGTGTAAATGTATATAAAATATGCGCAGCAGTACTAACAGCGTCTTTACGCATGCTTTTACTTTGAAAATGAAAAGAGTTCCTACAAGTCCCACCCATCAAAAGAAAGCTCTTTTTATTGGCTACTTAGACACGTCAATCATTCAGTGCAAGCACATTGTGCTAGCCTGTAATCAACAACAAGGCAAAAACGGACCCTCTGTAAGTGGATGCGGTTCGTCATATTCACAAGGGTCCTGCGGACTGAAACCTGCTCCAATCTTTTCATGGAACCTCTCTTTTTGAAGCTAAGGACTCAAGGAACACGTGGATATGATGATTGTGGGGGTAAACAAAGCTCAAACTTGGTGAAATGTGAAAGAGATGCCTGAACATTTTTCGGAGGGTTTTTTTTTGCAACAGAAAAATGCACATTTTTTGATTATTTCTGAAGAATGGATTATACTTTGGGAAATACAAGTGGGTATTCTTTTTCAATGAAGACTTACAGAGAGAAAGAGACTAAGCAAGGATGGGGAAAGTCTAATTTGTTTGAGCAGCACAAGACGAAAGGTAAGAAACTTATAGAAACACGATTTATTTTGTGCCCATATTATGCGTTATATCTTTTTAATGCAAAGTATGATATCATTTACACTTACATATAAATATAGCTGAGAAAATAATCTTTAAAATGATACATAGCTTGTGGCTTATGAAGTTCAAAATACATCTGCTATTGCCAGCAGATGTATTTTTTTTCTTGTTGGGGGCTTGTTGGGGGCTTGCGAGCTTATGAAAACGTATCAAAAGGCAAAAAAGGCTAGAAAAGTTACCAAACTCTTACTTCTCAAAACTGGTGGGAATCCAACATATGTTGGATTCCCACCAGTTTTGAGAAGTAAGAGTTTGTGGCAGATTTTAGGTAAATTTGATAAATGTAAAATGTTAAAATGATACGCCTGCTATGGAGGACCGTGGCTGCCAAAACAATAAATATATACAGAAATAAATACATAAATTTAAAAAAGATCAAATTTGCTAAGAAATGCATGCAATGATGAGAATAAGTGCATTTATTTCTGTATTTATTTATTTCTGTATTTATTTATGTATATATTTATTTCTGTATTTATTTATGTATATATTTATTTATTTATTTTTGTATTTATTCATACATTTATTTATGCATTTATACATTTATTTCTCTATTTTTGTATTTATTTATTTATTTATTTCTCTATTTTATTTATTTTTGCATTTATTTATTTATTTCTCTTTAAATATTTATTTTTGCATTTTTTTCGTTTATTTTTCTATTTATTTATTTATTTCTCTCTATATTTTTTTTCTCTATTTATATATTTATTTCTCTATTTATTTATTTCTGTGTTTATTTATTTATTTATTTCTGTATATATTTCTCTTAATGATATGCAAATCATGGAGTGGGCCGGGATGCCTCTGCTGTAAGCTCATTGGTTAATCTTTTTCCTTGCTCCATAGCTTGTCCAGCATAGGCGGTCATGTTGAGATCACTGTGTTCTCGCTATAGCCATAGATAGCTATAGAACAAAAAAATAATAGATAGCTATAGAACAAAAAAATAAAAATAAAAATCTCAAGCATTTTTCCATATGCAACAATTGCATTGTGTATGTGTGTGTGTGTTTTTTTCGATTCTCCATTAAGTTAAGTAGATCTCTCTATGGCGCCAGAGTTAAAAGTCATAATGAAAACAAGCAGATTCTCTGTGGGTCGTCTGCGCCCACGTGACCCCAGGCTTATAGCAAGCCTGTGAGTGAATCCCAGACCTCTCCCAGTGCAGACAACTCGCTTAAGCAAAACACGCAGTCTCACACACATAGCAAGGTGCTGCGCTGTGTGTGAGTCCCAGGTCTCTCCCAGAGTGATATGCTGCGTGTGAGACAGAGAAAGTCCCTGGCCTCTCTGCCTCACTTATAGCAGCTTGATATGTATGGCGTCAAAATAGGGTCTGCTTAAACGTAACCGTAAAGCAGGAATTGTAAACGTAGGTTGTAAGTATTGTAAACATAAAAAATATTGTAAACGACAAAACTGTGGCGTAACCGTAAAGCAGGAATTGTAATCGTAGGTTGTAAGTATTGTAAACATTAAAAATATATTGTAAATGAAAAAAATTAAAACTTACATTTACGGTTCTGATTTTTCATGTTTCGCTTCAAAAGTTACGTTTACGATTCACAAGCTACGCTTACGGGTCAAAACTTACGGTTACAATACATTTTCATCTGACCCCTTTTTGGAGGGGTCCAGCGCGCCCATTGGCTGGAGAGACCGGATGTCACAAAAGCAAAACACACGCACGTTGCTACAATCTTTACAGTCTGGTTACTACAGAAGACGAAGAACAGGCTTCAGGCCATCTACGGAGACCTGCGTACATACATGCTAAGAGCAAACTTCGGGGTCGGCCCGATGTTCCCCG